CCAGATATGGCACCATCAGATTACAATCTTTTTCGTTCGCTGAAACACCATCTTAATGGGAAAACGTATGCAAATGTGGAAGGTGTTAAAGAGAACATCGACATGTTTTTTTGCTTCAAGGCCAAGTGATTTATTTAATCAGGACATTAACAACCTGATTGTAAAATGGAAAAGCATCATCGATAAGAATGGAGACCATTTCATTTAATAAATATATTGTTTTGATATATAAGTTGTTCGATTTTTTCATCTAAAAAAAAAGCGACATTAATTTCTTGACGACCTAATATTATAGCAGTTAATAAATCTGGGTGAGAGTAAAATTGCTGGCAATGGTAATTTTGAATATAAAATCATCCTTGATTATTAATTCAACATTTGAGAAACACTGTTCCTATAAGCTAACCAATACGACAGTACTGAAGCTAGTAAACCTTCTCAAACTTCTACCGAATTGTGTTTGTTGCGAATGTATTGATTATAGATGTTATGATTTCGTGTTGCGGTTTGTATATAGGTAATAAAATAATATCGCTATTCATGTACGTGAAATATTTGAATTAATATGTAAATGAACAGTAAAGAAGTTATAAGTACGTAAAAACATTAAATCAGAGTATCGTGTACATAAAACTCGATATTATTCAGGCTATTATCATTCTCAAAATTATACAGGACTCAACCTGTCGCTGTCAGTTTAAGGTTTATTTTTCTGAAAAAGAAACGGTACTGGTTGTTTCTTTGTAATTGGTTTGTTATGAATTTCGCGCAAAGCTACACGAGGACAATCAGTTCCCAGCATTACATTATTGTTGTTTGTGCTATGCTCGGGGGTTATCTACGCTAGCCGTCCTTAATTTAGCTGTAAAAGACTAGAGGAAAGGTAGCTAGTCATCACCACCTACCGCCAACTCTAGGGCGACTCTTGTACCAAAGAATAGTGGGATTGACCGTTACATTATAATGCCCCCACGGCTGAAATGGCAAGCATGTTTGGTGGGACGGGGATTCGAACCCGCGATCCCAAAATTGCCCTAACCAGCTGGCCATGCCGGGCCTGATTGTTTCTGTTAATGTGACATTTTTCTTCTTGGAAGTTTGTTTGTTTTTAATTTCGCGCAAAGCTACTCGGGGGTTATCTACGCTAGCCGTCCCTAATTTAGCTGTAAAAGACTAGAGGAAAGGCAGCTAGTCATCACCACCCACCGCCAACTCTTGGGCTATTCTTTTACCAACGAATAGTGGGGTTGACCGTCAAATTATAACGCCCCCACGGCTGAAAGGGCGAGCATGTTTGGTGTGACGGGGAGTTGAACCCGCAACCCACAGATTGCGTTTAGAAGAATACTCTCTCTTTGTTTCCGGCCCCAGTGGCACAGCGGTATGTCTCCGGACCTACAACGCTAGAATCAGGGTTTCGATACTCGTCGTGGGCTTTGTGCTAAATTACAAACAAACAAACTCTTTGTTTCTACGTCAGTTAACAGTGATGTATGCATAGCGCACTCTCTTGATAAAGCTGAAAAAAGAGAAACACCAGCATTCAAAGAATGGTCATATTTTATATTCAATGTGAAAATATTTTACAGGAAGTTAAACATGTTTTTCGTTTATCAAACACAAGAAACTATTTGAAACTGAAAGAGGTTTTCGAATTCACAAAAGTAAAGCTTTCCTGATGATAACATTTCTACGCGTGAGTTCCAATACGTTAGAGGCAATGTCTTCTTAAAGCTAACCTTAATTGGATTTTCCTCGGCGATGACTTCTTTTTTTTCAAATTGTAATCCCATTTATTGTATGAGATGGTAATGTAACATTGATTTCAGTCTTTAGAACGCTGAAGAATTAATAAAAACTGCGAAGAAAAAGTCAGTTAATTATGGCATGGTACCTTCGTATTTACAAAACAATGTTCCCTGTTTAATTATATCTAACTTCTCGAAGAAATTATTGGCCAATCAAAGTTAAATTTTATTGGTTTAAATATATATATATTTACGGTAAAAACATCTGAACCATGTGACTTTACTAATAAAATACATCGAATTATTCAGTCTTTGATTTAGATTTAGTCGCAACAACTAGTGAAACGAAAAAAGAAGCATTTTTACATCTTCAACCTGGAGATTAATATAACTTTGAAAAATTAAATGTTTTTGTAAAGTTTTCTCAATTATTTAGATGATGATATTTTCTAGTGGTATAAAACTTTTTTTATGAAATGTTTTCACTGCATCTTATTTTTCATGTAAAGTTTACAATAATCAGATATTTCATGCAAGTACAATTTCAATGCTAGCAGCGTTATGACAAAACTTATTATTTAATTCCAATGCGATACAAGTTGCTACTTTAAAACAACCTAACATATTCGAATGAACAACATTTTGAAGGCGATATAAATTAAATACTTGATACAAAAATATCTTAACTCTGAAAACAAAAGTAAAATGGGCAAGAAAAACATAAACGGCGTGAATGATTTAGTGAACATTTTTAATCAAACAGGGCAGTACATCCCCTCCCCACTTCCCCTGTGGCTTAACAACAGGAAGGGCGGTATCTCAAATGCCTAACCTAATAGTAAAATAAACAGAGCGTTACGTTAGTTGGAGTAACAGTACTTATTACTGCATTGTTTAATATAATGAAACAGGAACCACATTGTCAATCACGTAAGTCTTGAATAAATTATTAAACTATTAAAACACCCATGCTCTTTATTTTTATGGCAGTGGTAATATATCAAGTAAACAATAAAGAGTGTTTCCGCTTTGTCATCATAAATGTTGGCTTAATTGCACATGAATCAATCAATGGCTCAATATCCTTCAAAAAACAGAAATCACACACACACATAAAAATGCGCAAGTTAAAAGAAAGGCTTATTTTCTCTCTGACTTGTTAGCAGCAAAAAATGAATGAAATTCACGAGTGTAGTTCAGTAATTTTTTGGGAAAATACCTTTCTTTACAGCTAGGATATCATTATATAGTTATAAACTCTCAAGATTAAATGGTATTATATGTATGAACGTATTCGGCTAACCAGGAAACTGCGTAGCTTCACACTTAGTTAATATTGGCTATTGAGGAAATGTTATTTTAAATTACGTTATCAATAAGGCTGACAAAGAAAATATTAACATGGTGAAAATTTACAGTGCAACGTCTGACTAAATTAATGTGATTTATGCTAATTGTCGTAAGGCATTTCTGACTAACAGTTGATGTGACTTATGCTAATTGTCGTATATGACATTGCGTGTTAATCAAAGCTTACAGGTCAGGTGAATATGTTTCAGTAAAATATATATCATCTTAATTTTGTTTTGGTGTATAATTTCAAGTAATTCAGAGAGTGTTCTGTTTAATATATATGTATGAGTCAATATAATTTAAAAACTAAGAAAACAAACGAGGAATATATGTTAGTAAACACAAACTTACCAGAGGGTTTCTGAACAGTTGGAATATACGTTGCTCCGTAAGCATCTGTGGGGTAAACACCTCCAAGATAGTCCCAGGCTAGTAAAAAATACATCATGGTCAGAATCAAGCTCTTATCACTTTAACTTGCTAGCTTTCTGTATTGTAATTTGTCTTTTTTCTTTTTACTGAAACGTAAATAGGTTTTGTAGAAGTAAACGGTGACTTTTGGAGAAAAGGTTTTTGGATGCAGTAAAGACGTAATTTTCTAAACGCCAGCTAATATTAACTTAATGACTTTCTTTTCTGCAAATGCATTTTATTTTACATCTAGAGCAACAAATTCAAATTATATAGTTTAGATTATTATCTCTGGTGATACACGTGAGGTATGACAATATTCTTTTTTATTACACTTTTATTACACATATCAAACTTACGGGTGGTTCTAGCTTTAACTGTTGGGCTGAACATTCCATCTCCAAGGGTGTTGCGCGAAAGGACTCGAAACTCGTAATCTGAATTGGGTTGAAGGTTGTAGATGGTAAACGTGGTAGCTTCGTCTGGATCGACTCGCATGCTTCGCCACGGACTGTCTGCTTGTTCCACGAGTCGATACCTATATATTTAAATAATTAAATCTCGTACTAAGTTTGCATGCAAGGTATAATACATGAAACACCCTGTAAATGTGTTGCAATATGCCTCTTACAACTTGAAACTATTAATTATTCGCACATTAACTAAAGAAACTTCATAAAGTTCACAGTAAAAACAAAGCTACTTTAGAAGAAATAAAAATTCCCGTCGTGGTAACATTTAAAAACATTTTAAAACATCTTTCAATACAAATGAGCTGTAAAAAGTAGTGTATATACAGTTACGTATTACAAAAAAAAACTCTGGATATGCGGCTTGAAATGCTGGATAGACACGAATTAAATCTTACTTTTTGAGATTTTTATCAACCTAATGAAAATAATTTACAATAATACTCTTGACTTATTTTAATATGACCATTAAACACAAGATATTAAGTGGATGTTCATATGTTATATCTCATCTTCAACACCCATAAACATTTCAATTCATAGTCACTATTAATTTACTCTATTATATCTAGGGTACCTATAAACATTTCACGTGGCACTTCACTGTGACTCAGATTTTATCCTATCATATCCTGGATACATGTAGATACATCATATAACACTTCATAGTCACTATTAATTTACTCTATTATATCTATGGGTACCTATAAACATTTCACGTGTCACTTCACTGTGACTCAGATTTTATTCTATCATTATTTACATGTATCCAGGGTCATCACATAACACTTCATCATCCCTCATATTTTATTCTGTCATACCCTGGATACATGTAAATACATCACATAACACTTCATCATCATTCATATTTTATTCTATCACACCCTGGATACATGTAAATGCATCACATAACACTTCAACGTCACTCATATATTATTCTAAGCTGTTATATAGGTACTTATAAATATATAATCCAAACAGAGAATCTGATGTGAAATCTTAACCATGCTTTTGTTTAATAAGCAGTTGTTACACTCCTCCATTGGCGAAACAATGAGTTTTTTAGGCCTAACAAAACTGATAAACTTGAACTAAATTGCACATGGTTTTTATTCATATTCCACTTTATTAGTCCTTTGAGAATTTCTAATAAGTTATGTAAAAATAGCTTTGTTTCAGTTTGTTTGTTTTTAAATTACAGAATTTCATGCAAAGCTACACAGCGGGCTATCTGCGTATAGCCACCTATAAAATTGAAATGAACAAAAAAACAGCTAGTTAATCAATAGCATTCATCACCATATCTTGAGCTACCCTTGTCCGTCCAATGGTGGGATTTGACGGCCACTCTTATAGCCCAATCCTTGGTCCCAGATTACAGAAAGGTTTTTGCTGCAACGGGTCATGAGCCCATCGATCCGGGAACATCAAGCAATGGACCACGCCCGGCATTAAGAACATACTTATATACAAATAAAAGTTAACAGTTGGACATCAATATTATTCACACATTTCTCGTAACAGCAAAACTGTTTGAGTTGGATGATGTATATTCAAGTTTGAATAGCGCACATCTTATGAGGGTTATGGCCATACTTATCATATATAACCTTTATTGGATAAATGGTATATATATATATATTGAAAAATTCTTTGAAAATGCGATAGTGTTTTATATTGCATAACACACTACTTTACAATTCTTTGAAGTGTGTGTAATGAGATAAAGCAATAGCGTAAGACATTTATTAAAAATTAAATATTCAGTTGTAGTAGGTAGGAAATGAAGTCGACACTCGCTTCTACATTGAGATTAAATGTGGTTACATTTCATTGATTTTATAGCACTATAAAACTCCTAACAACTAAATAAAAGTATCCTCAAAAGTAGTTTCAACCAGTATTAAGATATATATATATATATATATATAATCCTTTTTTTCTATTATTCAAATCTACTATGAACTACAAAGGAACTTGGAATATATTTAAGTAAACCAAAATAACTTAATCCTGGCTGATTTTTATATAGATTTTACTTGCTAGTCTTATGATTTTCTAACTATTTTACTCGCTATTGAGGGTGAAAACAATAAAAGACATGTGAGGAGATACTACCTGTCACAAGTTATAACACTTTGTTGGATATGAAGCTCTCTCATAAAAGTTTATTCAATATCGTCTTTTTATTTTAGATAAATTTAAGGTGTATAAACGTCAAATGTTGATATGTTTTTCTTTCTTAATTGCTCCCTGGCGGTTCAGCTAGAACCCGGTTTTCGATACCTGCGCTGTGCTACTGCTGAACATCAAATTGTTTAAATTAAAATATCGTGTAGTTAATGTGATATTCATCGCAGATGTCAACAACGTTAATATTTACTCTGGAAATCGTGAATGATCTGAGCTGTAAATCTTTTGTGTGTGTGTGTGTGTTCCTGCTCAAATGTTCTACTTTAAGATTTATTCTAACACAGTTTTGTGAACTACAGGCCTGTTAGTTCCTTATATACATCAGATTTGCAATTTTTTATTTAATGTTCTCAAACATGCATCTTTAAAACAGTTTGGTCTATGTGTGTATAATTAGCTGTCTAATTTAATTATAACTGAAAAAATAATTCTAATTTTTCTCATCAACCTTTTTGTAAGCCTTCAATTTATTTTAATTTTAGGTTTAAATTTTTCCATGCTTAATTCTTAAAGACTATGTACGACATTAATACAAATCACATGTTTTGGTCTAACAAGTAGTGCTCTCTTTTTTATATAGAATTTTCACATATATATAGCTACACAAGGCTATCTGTGCATAAGTCGTCCATGATTTTAAGCTCACATCCTATAGAGAATGCAGCTGTTTAACAGCACCCATAGTTAGCTTTTCTGCTACCATTATCGGATCAAATACTAGGATTTGATCACCATTCTTACAGCAACATCACACTTTCAAAGTGTAGGGCACAGTTTTTGACAAAGGGAAACGACCCTTGAAACCACGAGTTCAAAGTCTGGGCACACTAATCATGTGACCACGCTCGGCCCTACGAGTAGTAAAACAGATATGAATTTTATATACAACATGACTTTTTTCTTCTCAAAATACTCTTTATTTTTTCTATGTTATACTCGCACGTATAGTATCTATATATTCTACTCACGAAACTCATTCGTATAGCGAGCGTATTTCACTTACTGTTTCATTTAGTTTCTATCTATTTTAATGCCAGTAAACACGTTTTACAATTAGTTATTTTAGCTTGTATTATCATGTTATTAGAATAAAACACTGGACTTTTAGCCTTGTCTAGCTTGTAACTATAGTGTTAATCGGTTTGGCATATATGATTCTGATTAGTGACGGTGAAAAGTGAATACACGATGTTTAAATTTACTAAATATAAATCTAATTTAAGTATTAAGTGAGATTAGATACCTACTTTGTCAACTAAAGTTAAGTTATTAGAAGCACTACATATCTCAACTAACTGTGCACGAAAGGAAATAGATGAATTGTGAATTAGTTAATGCCTTGTGACAGCGAGCTACTAAAATAAGTTGTTCTATTTATTTATTTATTTTGTTGAATTTCGCGCAAACCTAACATGTACATTTTCTGTCGTATTGGAATAATACTTTTCAGGTATGACTTACCGGATACACACATATATATATATATATATATATAACTATGGGAAAAATCAAAAAGTGTTTAAAATTTTATTTTCATAAAAATAGAAAAACCAAAAACCAGATATATAAGACTATATTTATTTAGTCAGTTTTTGTTGTTGTTGTTGTTTTCGGATACTTGAGCAAAGATACTCAAGGGATGTCTGTGCTAGACTAGAGGGAAGGCAGCTAGTCAATACCACTCACCGCCAACTCTTGAGTTACTGTGGTCAGACTGCATAGTGAGTTAGATCGTCATTGTTACTAGGCAACCACGGCCTCAGAGTGCTGAGCGCGTTTTTTTTTCTTTTTCCTTTTTGCACTAACGAGACGCGAACCGGGAACTCCAGCTAAACAGACTGGCACGCCGATATCCTCGTTTACAAACCAAAACATACGTGCAGAAAATTTTAACTTGGGTAAATATTTCCGGAGATAGTTACATCAGGATGCAGTTTTGTTATTTTGCTATAAAAATACATTACAGTGCTGCTTGAGTAAGGAAGCATATTATGGTAATATAACGGTAGGCAGACAAACAACAATTCATAACCATAAGTAAAAGCTTACTACATGTTTCGACAGAACACTTGTCTGCATTCTTCAGCGCTGATTTTGTTTAAATGTGTGATTCATTAGTTTAAAATTTCGATCGCGCCCCTCCCCCTTTGACAGTAATTTATTCTCTGTTGGACATTAGTTTAAAATTTCGATCGCCCCCTTTTTTACATTAATTTATTTAATGTTGGATAGCTTCATAATCAACAGTTACTTCAGAACTACAGATCCTGTTAAGCCGTTCATTTTCAGTGTAGAAAACAAAAACAACAGCAAGATTGTTGACTAAGTTTTAGAATATAGTTTAATATCCTCCGATACCTTACCAGTTCTACCACAACGAGAAAGCTTTTATATTAAACTTAACTCAAATGTAATCTATAATTTATCATAATTATAGCCCTATGCAGCTAAATTAATATGCGCAAGATGATTTGGAAATATAATAATAATAATAACAGGATTTAAAGAAAAGCTCATTTTATTCTTATACTTTTTCTAACCAGAACGTAAAATTAATTACATAGTTTTATGCATATCGTACATGCACTGTATGATTTAATCGTATTTATTTACATTCTCTGCTTAGTTATGTCCGAAAAAATTAGTAGTATTTAACAAAATATTTAGAATTAGAACTTATACAACAGTTATTAGGGTAAAATAGAAATAAAAGTTGTTGTTTTTTTCAGTTTTTAATAACATCAGAATTGGTCGTCATTATTCAATTATTTCAATAAGTTTATCATTGAAACGAATTTCCAGCACATATTTGCAGGCGTATTTTATTTCATTTATGCATTTATTTGAATTCTTATACCATATATCATAGTGTATA